ACATTAAATTCCCCAATTAAAAATATTAAATTAATCACTTATCTATTAAATTATCTATTGAGATGAAAATAATTTTATCCAATAAATTATAATATCTTTCTTTTCCCTAACTTTTTTATTGATTTTAGAAAGGGGGGAGAGAGAGAGGCATCAATTTGTTGTTCCACTTATTTATGCATTCATTGGTTGATTCTTGTATGTGCCCTGACTGGAGATTGTACCCGAAACCTTGGCATATTGGGATAACACTCTAACTAACTAAGCTACCTAGCCAGGGCTACATACTGATTTTATTTGGGGCTGTATTTTTTAAATTACCAATAGGGATATATTCTATTCTTTGAATGATCTTGGGAACAGAGTTAATGATAAGCAGAATTATATTATGCAAATAATGCTAGACTTGGTCAGAGTCAGAGAACATGAACTCAGATCCTGACCTGCTTCTTACCAGCTACGTAAGCTTGGGCAAATAACTTCACCTTTTTGAATCTTCAGTTTCCACACCTGCTAAATTGTTATATCAGGCTTACATGAGATAATGTACATAGAACTGAACAGAGTACCTGGTACACAAATTTTAAAATAATGCATAAATGTCAAATATATTATCGAACACTTCGATTTTCTTAGAATCTCTCAATATATCACATGTTATCACTAATAAACACATAAAAAGGCAATATTCAAATCTGTAAAGTAAGTTTTCTTAAGATTAGGAAGATTCATCGAAGAACCTTAGTCTAATTATTGGATAATAATTATTCCTCAGGCAGTTGCAGCAGAATAAAAGTTTTCCTTTCCTTTCTTCTATTGTTACCCAAATAGCATCTTCTCAGTTTCGTTTCAATCCCTGGCTTTATAAAGAAACACCCAAATAATATCATTCACACATGACCAGAGGCAGAGAACCTTGGCAAGAAATTACACCCAAATATTTTGGCTTGGGCTTTTATACTACTTTCTTTTTGCACCTTTCCCCCCTTCATGAATGGCCCGGCCAGACAGGAAGGAATTGGAATGAAAGAGTGGAATTTGGCTGGAAGGAAAAGTTCCAGCTGTCCTTGTATTTTTGTTCGAGAACAAATTCTCATGCCACTGGAGGGGAGTTTTAACCTGAGCCTGGGTAGCATCGTGGTATGGAACAGGGCTTCTGGCCCCTAGCGCTGCTGACATAGTAAGCGGAACAGTTCTTTGTTGTGAGGGGCCCTCCTTACTAGTATCCCTGGCCTCTACTTACTAGATGCCAGCGGTATTCTCCTTCTCCCTGCCCCAGTTGTGACAACTAAAAATATCCCCAGATACCACCAAATGCCCAAGAGTCAGTGGGTGCAAAATCGCCCCGTTGAGTACAACTATCATGTAATGATTCCCCATAATCTTTTCTACTGTGTTGAAGATGAAGCGGCGTCCAATTCGCCAAGGTTGGGGGTTCGATCCCAGTCAGGGCACATACAAGAATCAACCAATGAATGCATAAATGGGTGGAACAACAAATCCATGTTTCTTTCTCTCTCTCTCTCTCTCCCTCTCAAAATCAATAAATAAAAATAAAAAAAAGAAATCCAAATTTTACTGTTTCTTCTAGAATATTTTAAGGACACACTTTGTAAACATTTGGCCTCCAACTTATATTATGCCTAAAAGCTCAAATCATATAATGAGTGTAGAGTCAATCTCATCTTCCTTTGTAAGAGTCCACACCTCTACAGTTTTGTGAGTCTTAGAAGGACAGCAAGGCAAGATGCCAGAACAATATCCCCAAGCTGAAAGAAGTGCGCCTGATGTGGGTGTGAAGCGGGGGCCGGGCCACGGGCTTAGGCATGAGGAATATGGACCCCACAATGCAGGGCATTTCCCTGGTGCTGATATGAGCAAGCTCCATCGGGTTGGCCACTGGGTGGGTGGCATGAATCAGAAGGTAATTTTCCCCATTTCTTTCTTTCTTATCTCTTCCCTTTTCTTTTTCATCTTTATTTTTCATTCTTTTTTCTCCTCTTATCTCCCACTTTCCCCCCCTCCCCTCTCTTCTGCTACTATTTTAGTCAAACACTGATCATGGGAGTTCAGCATTGACTGGGATGGGGCTCTGGAACCAGGTGGCCTGAGTTCGAATCAGAACTCTGCTACTTTCTTTCTGTGAACCTACTTCAGCAAGTTATTTAACCTTGTGTGCTTTCATTTCCTCACCAAGAAAATGGAGATACGAAAATTAACATATGTTAAAGGTCATGGGACAGTGCCAGGCATGCAGCAAGCAACCAATAAATGTTAGCTATTATGATTATCTTCAAGTCCTCCACCAGGGAAGAGCATGTGCCACAATTTTATATAAAAAAGCCCAGCAACAATTGCCCATTTGTATTTATGGAGTGGATTATTCTATATTACTGGTCTGGGAGAGGAGAAAATTAGGTGTCTGTGTTTTAGGAATAATGCTGGTTTTATTTAACACCTTTGTGTCAGGGAAGCTGTGCTAGGGGAATATGGACAAATGTAATAGAACTTAATATAGTAAAAGAACATAAGTAGTTCCATTAAATTTCTCCCTGATGCATTGTTATTGCTGGTCTGAATATAATGTATACAGTGCTTCTGCATGACTGGAGAAAAAGCAGATTTTAAAATTACATAAATAAAAATAGAATATCAAATACAGGAAAGATAATTTTGCAAAACCTTTCAAAATAATACTTTTATTTTTATCTATTACTTTTCTTAGGAAAGAAAGTGACCCACTGGTAATAATGTTTAATATATGAATATTTTCATAACACTTCATGACAATATTTAGCTGAGGGTACAGCTAAGGAAGTTGAGGCAAAGAGAAATTAATGAGAAACAGGATTAGGAAATTCACTGAAGAAGAAACATGAATAAAACTAAACCAAGTAATTAGGGAAATGGAAAATAAAATGAAAATAAGATATTGGGGGTGGGGGTGGATATTACAATGGCAAAAATTAAAAGAGATTGTTTATATAAAAGTTGAATGAGGGTATAAAGAAAAGAGTACTCTCCTACTGGTGAGAAAATAATTAATTAAAAATGGAACAGTATTTTTAGAAGACAATTGATCATTACCTTCTATTATTTAAAATGTTCATTCTCCCTCAGCCAGTGTGGCTCAGCAGTTGAGCATCGGCCTAGGATCCAGGCGATCGGGGTTCAGTTGCGGGTCAGGGCACATGTCCAGCTGCGAGCTTGATCCCCAGCGGGGGGCGTGCAGGAAGCAACCGATCAACGACTCTCTCATCATTGATGTTTCTATCTCTCTCCCTCCCTTCCTCTCTCTGAAATCAATAAAGACATATTAAAAAAAGAAAAGTTCATCCTCTATGACCTTGCAATTTCACTTACATAAATCTTTGACAGAAATCTTCACCTTTAAACCCAAAGATGAATGTGCAATTATGCTCACTGAAACATTGTTTCTAATAGATATAGAACAAAATCTGGAAACAATCAATGATTGATGTCTATTTACAGAGAGGGGATAAATAAATTCTAGTATGCCTACATTGTAAAATACTGTATAACAATATTTAAAAGAATGAACACTAATACTGAAAATATACATGGTATGTTAAAAAAAAGTAGAATACTATTTAAAACTTGTGTTTATTATATATGTGTAAATATAGATAAAATAATCTGAATTGTATATTCTAAAGTGTTAGTAGTGGTCACCTTTGAGGCAAGTTGAATTAGAGTTCTCACTTTTATTCTATACTACTTTTCTATAGAATTCTAAGTTTTTACAAGGACCATTTGTTGTAATTTAAAAATAAAAAAGGGCAATTTAATATTTTTGCCTTTGCACTTGGGGATTACTAGGGTGCAACAGACCACTTCTGTCAACATTGTTGAGTGTACAATAGTATACATTTGGGGAAGATAAAAGAAATTTTAGAAGCCAAGGCCCCTGTTACGTCCATTTGATATTCAGAACATACACTAGGAACCTAAAAACACTTTTTGGAATCAAATAAACACACAAAAATATGTCCAGTATAGAATTTTTACATGTGTTCAAAGGAGACAAGAGAAATGGAAGGCCCAGTGAAAACTACATTGGGATGGATGAGGTGAGAGCAGGACAGGTGGCCTTGGACATTTAGTACACAAAAAGTAACCACAGAGAGTTCTTGAGATGGGAATCAAAACAAGGTGCCTGTGTAAAAGATTATTTCCTCAGAGTATTTAGGTACTAACTGGGAGATTGCTCAAATATACCAAAAGGACCTCTACAATAAATAACTAGCAGAAACGTAACTGAAAAAAATCCATCAAGTCACCGTATGGTAATAGAAGGACGTTCTCCCAGGGAAAATGAGGATAGGTGTTGGTGAAAAGGGTAACATTTAAATAGGGTGAAGGTTGGGGAGCAGCTGTGAAAGCTTTATCCTTATGGGGCTTCATCTTCAGCATTTTGGCTTTGCCTTTATATAAAAGTGTGCAAAAAAGAACCAAAGATTGATCAAATCTCTCTTAGCTCCAATTGTCCCTTGGGAGGTTGAAGTTATACAACCATCAGCATTTTTTTCTTTCTTTCTATTTACCATCTCCTTGGACACATGGGTGAAGCCATATTCAAGCAGGACTTTTCATTTCATTGTTCTTGTTTATAATTCACAATAACGTTTAATGGTAACTCACCTGCTGTTAATCCTCTCTTTTATGTGAAGCAAAATCAATTGCTCCCATAGCACTTTATTCGAATTCCTACAGCACTTACCATGGTAATGGTAATTTACCAATTTTCATCTTCACTGATGTCAAGGACTGCTTTAATTTCATCTCTATTATTGAGCCTGGCCTATAAAATCAATCAATTAATTAATATTTTGGATACAGATATCTTCTTTGAGTTTGTTGAAGATGGATTCTTTGAGAGTTGATCCTAAACCACTCTCTAATGAATTCTAATGATAATTTCTGAAGGTTTTCTCTATCCTTTACTGAGAACTTTCAGTTTTATAAAAGATCAATATCAAAAGTGAAGGTGATAAAAAAACACAAACAAGAAATAATTATTATTAGAATTAAATAAGCTACATTTCAAGTGATTTCCACTGAAATTTGACATTGCAGATATACGAAAAGAAAAGAAACTACAATCACACATAGTTAGAATTTATGGATTTGAATGAAAGCTTGGCAAAATCTCTAATGTCATTTATACATTTGAACAGATACGAGCTCCAGAGACATACATTGAAAACAGAAATTAAAAGTTGTCATTTTGGAGTAATAAATTACTCTTACCATATAAAATCATATTTGATAAGCACCGATCAGATATCTCACTTTACGAGTTATTATACAAAAATAATTTGATACATATGAATATTTGGGGTCTATAAACACTTGGGAACAATGCAAAACTATAGACATTAAGCAAATACATAGTTAAGAATAGTGTCATGGAATATATCAAGAATAACTACAAATTAAAAAATAAAACATAAAAGAATAACTGCATTTCTAAGATGTAGACTAGACCAAATGCTCTAGGATCATAGAAAGCAATCTTCCCCCCCACCCCCATCAATTCTAAAAGGCGTTATGGAAAATACCAGGAGTTGTACTTAAAATAAGCCAAGACAATAAGGCAAGTAAAGAGAGACTGTTCAAAGTCCTTGGCACAGTTTGGCAGGGGACCCAGAAGGAAGACTGGCATATCCAACAAAGGAAGGAAACCTGGAATAAACAAAGATTGGCTAAGACCCAGAAGACGATAAGGGTGTGAAGTGTTTTAGGGCTTCCCGATAAAGAGCTTTGGCGCTGAGGGTGGCGGTCTCTAGTAGGAAAACAAGCCGGCGTCCTCTTAGGATTTTAAACTTTACAGAGAATGAAAATTTCTCTTTCTGGTGAGGTAAGAACTGGCCAGATGTCACCGGAACTGAAGTTTAAAATTAATTTTAAACAGAAATTTTCAATGTGGCGTGCATTTTAGATTTTATCATACAAAGATATTAAAGCTATTATCACAGGATTCCCAAATGGACGTATTTGAGAACGCTAATAAGATTAGTGTTGTTGGAGGAAGCAACAGCAGTTATTTTTATTGCTTGCCATGGCATGTATTCATATAACATCTTGTATTTTCTAAATGTTTCCTTTTGGTTTTCTGTCTCCCCAGCCAGTTGCAAGTTTCCGGAACGCAGGCCTCCCAGGAGCTAAAGCAGCCTTGAGGATTCTGCACCTACATATATTTGTATCCATCTTCTTCTCTCCAGCATCTGACCAGTGCCCAACTTGTTCTCTTCTGTAGACCACTGCAACAGCCTTTTTACTGGTCTCCAAAAGCTTACAATAGATCTAGGAAGACATGGAACACGGAAAGGAAACATTTAGATAACACAAGGTGTTATACAACACAAATAATAAAAATACCTGCTACCTTTTCCCTCTAATACTGACATTTCCTTTATGATGCTCCTCCTCCCTTTGTCACTTAAATGTCTGTATTCCTTCCATTATAATTGTTCAACGATAAATTATGTACACACACACACACACACACATGCACACACACATTGCCAACACAGGTAGAGGTCCAAGAAATGCTTTTTAGGAAAATAGGGAGATTTGATAGAAAAGGGAAATGGGAAGGGGCAGGGAGGGAAGAAAGGGGCAGCCCTCAAATCATCTAGGCTTAACCCAGGGAGAAGCAGAGCCAAAGTGCTGTTCAGTGGTCTAAATCACAGACCAGAAAGAGGCTAACAGCATATCTGAACAAAAATCCTCTTACAGGGGGGCTAGGAAAAGGGCTGGAAATGATGGGTGGGTCTATCTTACTTTCATGCACTTGGAGGCTGGACAAGTATGAAGAAAAATATACCTAGTCGAGGTTAGGAAGGGCCACGATTAGAAAGAGATTATTTACAGCAGGGCTTCTTAAACTTTAATGTGCAGATGAGTCACCTGCGGATCTTGTTAAAATGCAGAGTATAACTGAGTAGGGCTGGGGTGGAGCCCAAGAGTCTGCATTTCTTTTTTAAATTGATTTTTAGAGAGAGAGGAAAGGAGAGAGAAACAGAGATGTGAGAGGGTAACATGGATAGGCTGCCTCCTGCACAGCCCCTCTCAGGGATCAAGGGATTGAGGGTTTGGGCTTGCAACCCCATCAGGTGCCCTGACCTGGGAATCGAACTGGCACCCTCCTGGTGCGTGGGACCCAACCAACCAAGGCACACGGGCCAGGGCTCAAGAGTCTGCATTTCTAACAAGCTCCCAGGTGAAGCTTTGCTGCTTTCAATGGCAAGGATTTATTTTACAGTACTAAACATGAGCATTTAAAGTATTTTTATAAAATAAATAAATCAATGAATTAGTGCCTCCCAATATAGATATCTTCTGTAGGCTTATCACAGACTTTAATTATGAAGTTACCCTCCCTTTTACCCCGAGTTGATGGCAATGAAGACATAATCTGAGGTCAAAAGAGGGAATACAGTGCCCAGTTTCAAACAGACAATTATATACCTGAGAGCATAATCATTGTTAGATGTCTATATTAATAACAAGATAACCACCTGTGTTGCTTACAGCAACACAAATGCACATCAAAGTGCCCAAGAGAATAGTCTGTGATGATAAAAATGTTCTATATCTCAACTATCCAATATGGTAGCCACTAATCACCTGTGGCTATTGAGCACTCGAAATGTGGCTAATACACGTGAGGAGTACATTTTAAATTTAATTTAATTTAATTCATTCAAATTTAAATAGCCACAGGTGCTGGCTAGTGGCCAGCATGATCGTCAAAGCTGCTAGTAATTCAAAAGACAGCCAGATGTTTTTTACCCCGATGGAAGTAGTCTTCCTATCAAGGACTCAAGCATTTGCTACCAATTCATAAAAGAGACACCAGAGGTTTTCACTTCACACTCTGATGGTATAAAGGAATTTATGGACCTGAGGTCGGCCCACAGGAGGCAGTTGATAACAGCTAAGGAATTAATCGTCTCGTTATCTAAAGTATGGCTGTCCTGCCAAGTCATTCTCCACAGTAATGACCTGAAGTGAAAGAATATCCTACTAAGGACCCTGTCTTTGACAAGTTATATATAATATTAAAACACACACACACACACACACACACACAGAGGCTTTTGAAGGAGAAAATTTGAGTTTGAGCTCTAGTCATATCTTCGCGAATGTTTGACCTCTGGTAAGTCACCTAACCTCTCTGATCTTCAGTTTCTAATCTTCCCTGTAAATTGGAGTTGATAATAATACCTAGTGGGTAAGGGTGTTGGAAAGGTAAGTTTCTGAGGGGCATAAGTTTTACAGTCCTATACAGTGGCTAATTACTATTGCTCACTAAAAGGGAAGTCAAATGCCATATTTAAAACAAAATCCAAGGAACTGCATAGACACTCTTGTTGTGTACTGAATTTGTGTTGCACGCACACGGTCTTGGAAATCTTGCTGTAATGGGATTATCACCTTCACAGACTGAGCATGCCAAAGCTATCTGGGAGAAGGGTGGTAAGGGAGGAGTGCTTTATTTAGTATGTGGGGCCTAGTAAGCATCCTCCCTGCTAAGATTATACTGAAAATAAAGGAAATCGCAGACTGCTCATTTCCCTTGTACTAGTTGTAATCTTGTGGAAACTTCCTGTAGAAGGCAGTTATAGCATTAAAAGTAAACTGATTTCACACTCACCGGATACTACCAGACCAACAATTGCAGTCCTTTGGGAAAAAAATAAAATAGCCTACTTCTTTATACTTTGTATTAGTTTGGAAGAACATGGAAACCCTAGTGACGGAGAAACAGACTCATGCCAGAGGCAAGGAAACTATTTAGAAACATGGTTACCATTTAGTAATTCCACTGAGAGGCAGAGCTCATTAGCCAAGAGACTGGTTATGCGGAGAAAAAAATCATTCATTAAACAAAGTACAGCATGAAAATAGTGTCCCCTTTGATCTAGGCACATATTAACTACAGTTTTAAAATATAAAATTTTAATAACATCTGCTAAGGGGTAACGTTAAGAGTAGATTTAGAAGTGGAAATGTGTACATGTATTTTATATTCTGTTAGAACCTCAAATGTTGGCATGGCCGTTTCCTCTTTTGGCTTTTTCAAGTATACACATATCTGCTGTGAGCTTATTAGTACAAGGCATGGTGTGTGTGAAATGCTGAACTGCAGCAGTATTCAAGCTACAATAGGAGGCCAGAGGGGACTCCTCATTTCCATCAGTGTCAGTCAATACAGTTTCATTTTTATATATGCACAAAGCTTTGGCATCATATTTCACTTGAAAAGCTTCCATTACTTAAAACCAATGTTGATGAGAACAATAAAAAATATGAAATGCTGCCTCTGCCTTCAAGCCACTTAAAATGTAACTGGGAAAACAAACATAAACTCATGAAGTTAATTAGCGCCAAAAAAAAAAAAAAAGAGGGCAAGAAAATTACTAATAGAGGTTTAGAACAGTAAAGGTAAAAATAAAAGAATTTGAGAAGACAGCTCTGGCCAGGCAGCTCAGTTCATTGGAGCATCATCTCATACTCCAGAAAAGGTTGTGGGTTTGATTTCCTGTCAGGGAACACACCTAGGTTGAGGGTTCAATCCCTGGTTGGCGTGTGTGCGGGAGGCAACCAATTGATGTTTCTAGTTCTCTGTCTGTCTTTCTCTCTCTAAAGGATTAAAAGGAAAAACAATTAAAGAATTTGAGAAGACAAATTCTGAGTTCCTAAGAAAAATGATCACTATGGACCAAGTGGTCTGGAAAGAGGGAGAAAGCCTTGAATTGGAGGCTCCATGCCATCTTCCAGTGCCTCCATGAGGACAGGCCATTTTACTGTCCTTGTGAACTCTGGTCCGATATCTACCTGGAACTCAGAACCCACTTGTACTTTCTTTACTCTGATGATTTCCTATAGTGACAATTACTTAGCAATTGTGCTGTTGGCCCATGGATGATTTTGAAAATTAATCATCTATAACAGGTTAAGTGTTAAGTGGCTGTGGCTAATTCTTAAGCTCAGGACAGTAGTACTGAGAGCCATCTGGAAGCACCAACTAGTATAACCAGCCTCCTTCCCACAAAACCTTCTGAGAAAATATAAGAGCAAATGCAAGGGTCCCTTGCCCTCCTGACCCCGATATGGCCACAGAATCCTTCTTGACTAGTGCTAAACCAACCGAATGGAGTTGGGACTTAAGGTGAAACTGTGGCCTATATTTATCTTCTCACACAGCTTTTCAAGACTTGTCAAATCCGTCTTCCTTAGCTGAACCAGTTCTCCGGCCTTGACCTGACCTTAGCCTAAGATATACCTTGGGCCATCTTTTTTGTGTTCTGCTGGAATAGAGGCTTAAATTAGAGATATGTTCAGAGATGTGATGACACATGTAGGTAGAAAGAAAGGAGGAAGAGTCTGTGAAGGGCTAGGAAGGACCTGGCTTACTTCAGGGAAAAACACACCAAAAAACAGGTTTGTTAGTCCCATTCCAGATCACAATATCACAGTCTCTGGCGTGGGATCTAGGAGTCTGCATTAAAGCAGTACTTGCAGTGTACAGCATGTCTTCAAATAATATTTTATTCAATATAACTTTATTATAAGACAGGAAATTAACTCTTGTTTATATCAATTTGCCTATGGTAAAAGTGGTTTTGTTATACTTCGTTTCCCTTAAAGTCACAGAACCTATGAACATTGTGAGGACCTATAGTACTTCAAAAAAGAACTGTTTGGTGACTGTGTCTTGGTCATGGGATTGGGAACAATCTAAAAGCATTAATTCAGGCTGTTGATTATATCTTGCCCCTTTGGGTAAGCACTGTGTGTGAAAGTGACCTGTACAGGGCCTTGCAAATGACAGCCAAGATGGTTTTCATATCTTCTCCCAAAGCCTGTTATTGATAATTTCCCCGATGCACTTGAACCTCCAACAGATACACACTTCTTCAAAAGAAAACGAGGTTTTGCAAGTGACCCAACTTTTTTTAATCATAACTCTGAGAACTATCACTTACTGATGACTTACTAAGGGCCAGGGTATGTGCCTAGCAAGAGCGGTACGTAGGAAAAACCTGAGTTATTTATTGAATGATCAAGGCTATTGAATGATCAAGGCTTCACATTAAGCCTTCAGAGCAATTCCTACTGCCTTGTCATGGAGTTTATTATGTTCAGTAAAAGCTAGGACTTAGTGAGCTCTTAATCGGTTCTAAGTGCTTTATGTATATTTATACCTCATTAATCAGTACAGCAACTCTATGAGTTAGGTACACAGGCTGAGTTTAAGTAACTTGTCTAGAACACGAATTATAACTGATGGGACTTGACTCAAATCTGAGCAGTTGAAGAGGTCAGCAGTAGTACTGGAAGGAGAGCAGGCCAGTCCCAGCACTCCCAGTCACAGGCTCTTAGCAGGAACAAGATAAAAAACAGACACAAAAACACCTCAGGTCCAGAGGTAACAGTAAGGTGTGATTACCCCAGATCCTCTCACCTTTCCCCGTCACCAACATTACCCCGACCTCCCTTTGAGCAAGGACAATGCTGCTGCTGAGGCAGGATGCAAGAAACCTCAGACATCAATGGGATGCTTTTTGGGGGCAGACTGACTGGGTTAGCTCCTTTAGTCATTCATCACACAGTTATTAAGCACCTACTATGTTCAAAACACTGCTAACAGACTAGTTAGTGCACGTGCTCCTGAGAACAGCAATCCCGAAACTTCCCGGAGACGGATGGCAGAAGACGAGTGCCAACTTGTGCGGGAGGTTCTCCCACTCTCTTCTTCCTCAGGAATTAGTCTCCCCCTCAAGGTGGCAGGAGCAGCAACCTTCATTAGCAGGTCGCACAAACCTGAGAATGAAGAGGAAAAACATTGCGCACTGAGCTAGACCGATTACCTAGGGAGATGCATCAGAAAACCTGGAGCGCTTGCGACTCCTTCCCCCAGGCCGGACCATGCAGAGGCTGGCTTTCTAGGTAGAGGAGAGAGAAGAGAATTGCGGAGCGAGGGGCTTGGGGTCCTCTGGTGCAGGAGACCCCATACTCCATCATTAGAGTCCTCTGGTGCAGGAGACCCGATATTCCATCCCGCAACCCCAGCAGGTTCCCGTGCAAAAACCTTCTGAGATGAACGCATACATTGTCCTCTGACAATGCAAACGTGACAGCTGCCTATTCAGTGCTCGTTCCGCCTCCGTCCCGAGCAGCTCACGCCACAGAGGCATCTTCTGCGCTATAGTTATGCAACCTCACTCGCAGCGGGAGTGATTTCCTGTGCTTCTGCCTGCGCCAGATTCATGTAACACGCCTACCCCGGGCTTCAATGGAAGTCGTTCTCCATTAACAATCACTCGAGCTCTCGGAAATGAATGCCCTGCACAGCATACCCCTTGAGCAGTAAGAATCCAAGGTATTAAAACCAACTCTTTCTCTCTCTCACGCACGTGCGCGCGCGCGCGCGCGCACACACACACACACACACACACACACACACACCCGTGTGCATGCAGCTAGGACACTGCAGCAATGCAAGCCGAGGACAGCAGGCGGAGCTCTCTCCGTACAGCCCCTCTTCTAACCCCCACCAACTAAAGATGAACTCATGCCAGTTCCATTCTTTGCTCTGCAAGGAGAACACACACACACACACGCACACACACGGCAGGACAGAGTAGCCTCCGACGTCCTCCTAGAGCACACTGTCACTCTAGCGTCTTGGTTCAAATAACCCGGATATTCCAAAGCGAGTAACGGGGGAGGACCGCGCCGCAACAATGCAACCTCGCGAGCAGCTCCCTGTGCAGCTCACACCCCCGCCCCCTTTCGCAGCGTGCCAAGAGTTTGGAGCGCGCGCACGCACACCGAGCGCCGCGCCTGGCATATCCCTCCGCCTCCCTCCTCCCTTTCCCCGCTCAGTGGCTCGACAACGATTTGGGAAATGAAGGGAGGAGGGAACTACTTTCCTGAAACTTGCTATGCTGCACACGACTTCGAGTTGCAGTGATTCGCTCGGAGGCCGCAGCTTCTGGTCCTCCTACCCGCACGCGCTCACAGCCCGGGCGCCCTGCTCTGCAACCCCACCCCGTGCTCACGTTGCCCCCCGGGGGGGGAAGCCGGCTGCCGGGAGAAGTCGCCAGGGACTACTTCGCCTCCTCCTGCGGGCGCCCCCGGTTCGGGCAGCGGCGGCGGCGGCGGAAGGAGCGGGCGGCGTGAGCGCTTCCGCCGCCCCCCTCGCGGCTC